AAGAAGAAGTGGGTCAGGAAGAAGCATTCCGAATAAGAAAATCTTCAGATAGACAAAACCTATGATTGGCCTCAAAAAGAAGCTGAGGTGAGTCCGGCTGGAAGCATATAGATAAGGGATAACACATTTCTAGATAGTATTGGTTAAACCTCGTTTTCGCAACTTTGTCGGAGCATCAAAGAGATCTTGTGGAACGTATCTTGTCCTGTGACCTCTACTATACTATTCGTGATATCCAGCATCGAAACATTGACTTGGTACATTCCCAAACGTTTCGCCGGCATCGTCAGTGAGAAGCGCCACCGTTAGCACAAAATTACAACTTAACAAATTGACAAGTGAAAACAATCCCCTTGACAAATGTTCTGTTCAACCATTGTGGTATCTCTCCCCGCCCCTATTTACTGTTCTTTCTTCTAGTGCTGCATCACTTTCTCTCAACCCCACTTCATATGGCCCATCTACCTATCCACACAATTTTGTGCTGTCTTTTCCTCAAATGCCGCCTATGGTTGGATTTATTGAAGCGTAATCATCTACTCCACTGATACCAGGTACCGTTTGCAGCTCTCCTGACCTTGATCCAGCGCCCCGCTTGTCAATTGGTTGATGATAAACACCAAAATCACTGGCTGACTGTCTGAAATTTGGCTGCCTAAGAGCCTTCAATTCCAATTTCAACTCCTCTTATTTCAATCACCTTTTCTTGATTTCTTTTTGTCCCTCGTGAGCAGCTCCTTAGCGATGTCTCTTTCTGTTGTTGAACAGTTGTCCTGGATCCAAGCGTCTTTTTTTTGATGTCGTCGCTAAATCTTTAAGTCTGCACAGGCAGTACGCGGAATCATCACTGATTATTCCTTTTTCTAATCTCCGGTCACTCAGGTTTCTTTGAAAGAGGATGTCCGCAGTCTCCATAATCTTCCGTTTTTTGTTGTTTTCTCCATATAAAGCCATTCTTTCCGTTACATTCTAGTGAATTGTGTAGCCGGTAAGGGCGATGTGTTCAGCTATATCCGATCTTCCTGTATCAATTTTTCTGAATACTCGCTGGTGTTCTTTGATCTTTGAACTGATTGTCCTTCCCGTCTCTCCAATATAGTTTTGTTTACATTCCTTGCAGTTTATGTTGTAAACTCCGGAGCACTCCATCTTGTTGACTTCTTTATGTTGGTTAGGCAAGCTGGTAAGGAGGATTGTCCTTGCTTCCTGGAGTATGACGAAGCGGTGGCCAGATTAGAGAAATTATAGTCAGCAAGATAGATAAGGGTGTGATTTTCAAAAAAAGCAGGTAACAGCTCATAAAAGTTGGGCGAACTGGACGTCCGAATATACGCACATTATGGCACTGGATCCCTGCGGACGGCATTCGAAAACGGTAGTCAATGTGACTGCGCTTCCCTAAATCTACTTAAAGTAACACACTCTTATGAAACATCGGAACAAGCAAACACACAGAGAAGTATAGACAGATAAATTTGCAGAATGAACTGGAAGCAAAATATTAGGAGATAATTCTATGAGTTATGACAAGGAAATGCGAGATGCCAGATTGGAAATAAATTGAGTTAACAATCCGATGCAGGTAATTATCACTATTACGATTCCATATTACTTGGGATTCATAATGTTCGAAAAAACTCCGTCACTGCGAGCAAAACCATATTGCACAGCTCAATAAGACTCCGAACAAACATAAGGCCACAGTACCTAAGCCTTTATAATTTCGATAGACATATATAAAGTGATCTACCCGAATCAATTTTTGCAGAAATAAGCACAAAACTTTGGGCTATATTTAAGTTTAAGAAACTTATTACGCAATCAAATGATGTAAATAACATTTATATCACTCTTAAGATAAATCGTTTTAATGCTTAGGAATAAAGATGATTAAAAAACAGATTAGATTGGTAAACGAGATCATTAAGCTTTGATTTCGAGCTAAACATCTCTTAGTAAATTTGTTTAAGAGTGAAGAAAAACATAAGCCAGACTACGTAGATGCGTAGGAAAACTGGATTTCCCTTATACTCGCCTCTTCAAACGAGTTGAAAGGTACTTCAACATAAACAAGACTAAAATTCCTTGTATGAACGAAAGGACTAAGTTTATTGCAATAAGAGAGAAGAGAGAATAAAATTACTATCCGTTGATGATTCAGATATGGCCGGAGAGAGACTTCCGGAGGTGATGGAATGAAGACCAAGGGCAGATAGAGCCTCGACTATTTCATCATTCTCTTCAAGACTGTTAGTTAGAAGGCGTTCGGCTGCCGAAAGATCGAGCTCGGACATTTGGTCAGAACAATAGAAGCGATAACCTCCACCGCTGATAGGAATATAATAAAATAAGAACACTTAAACATTACTAGTAGCAATAGTAATAAAAAGAGTTAAAATAAAAGAATTAAGAAATAAAGTCGTAATAGTAAGATAATTTGTCACAACTACCGGGCGAAAAATAGGAAATGTACGAATCAAAGAAATTATTTACATCTTATCCATCAAAGTTGTCGGCGTGTGTGAAAATATACAGCCACACAAGCGAACTGCTTTCTTGGCTAGATCCGCAAGGTCGCGTCGATGAGTCAAAAGTGCCGGCATCCCAGAAGCGAGGTAAGCAGCAGCTTCATTGCAGGCTACCTCATATGGTGTCAATAGAGCCCCAGGAGGCAGTGGCGGAGGCGCCATACCGGCTGGCGATCCAGCATTGCCTAACACCCCAGGGATTCGGCCTCCCACCGATGCAGAAGCGGTCCCCTGACCTCCCGAGCCACCAGCTCCGGAGGCTGCGCTGCGACCGTGAATAGCGGCGAGGTCACGCACAGCTTCCAGTCTGACCTGATTGGTGATCAAGCCAAGTAGGCCAGAGGGTGTGGCCATATTAAGCCCAAGGCCAGGGATAGCGCGAGCAAGTGAGACAGCCTGTTCATAGCAGGCTGCTTCAAGTCCAGTGGCCTCTGGTCGAGGCTTGAGGTCGTATGCGTTGTTAGGGATCTCTGAGAGGACCTCGACCACGGCACGCTGTAAAGCTTCTTCTTCAGCCGGCACCAACTATATCCGGAAAAGTTAAAGTCAATCTCCAGATATCAGAAATGTTCCATTCTGCATAAAGTATGTCTAAAGTTTCAATTTACAGAATAAATCTAGTTTACTCAGGTAGGTCAGAAGTTCAGTGTATTTAAATAAAGCATGTATTTAAATTGGTAACCGTATCATTGATATGATTTTTTCCGGTGAGCACTAGCTTCTTTTGAAGTCATAGTAACTAATTGCTATTTTACCCACGATTAATAGAAAAGGTTTAATTATTTAAATAAGTTCCTTGTGCAATGCATTACAAAACACCATTTTCATTCAGAGCGGACTTAAATTTAAAGCTCGTCACCATTAGGGGAATTTAAATGTTGCCCGTTAGAGGTAGATCGCAGCAACCAGAAGACCACAATAATAGAGCATAGTACGGTTGATGTGAATTTAGATCGCTGACGTACCAGCCAAGTATAAACATTAATTCGATTTTATACAAAGCATTCGCCAACAAGGATGATGGAAATTAATAGAGACATTTTAACAAAATTTAGTTGGATATGAGAGAAAAGATATAATGGCTATGGATGAAAGAATGAGGTTTGGGGCATCGCACATAAGAAAGCATAAATTTATATCAATAATAATAGTGAGATAAATTGAGCAGCGGAAAAAATAATGAATGAAATAAATCAGTAAATCTAATTGTAAAGAAAAGTAGATGGCAACAAAATTACCCACAAAATCAGGCCAA